GAATACATGTATCCAGTTTCATTTGCTGCCTCCTTTCACCCCGTAGGAAGTCTGGGGACACTACACTCTGATCTCTTGAGTGCGACCACCTCAATGCCTGACAGTTTCATCGTTATTTATTTTTTATTGTATACCTGGGCCAATATTTTGTCCTAGACAAAGGTGAATCTTTTCTCTTCATTACTCAGTTCAAATTATTGCTTTTGTGTTCTGTGTTGAAAATCTCGGAATTTCAGCGTTATTTAAGATCCTGTATCAATGTGCAAGTGTCTTGCTCGCTTACTGTTCTGTAGCCTTGATACCAATCAATCCTTTTATTATTATGTGCACAAACAAAATAAGTACTCTTGTTGCTTATGTAGCAAACTTCAACTGGAACATGGAAAAATCAATCGTTTTATTAATTGATACAAATGTCCTTGATTGCTAATCGGAATTAATGCGAATAGTGTATAGTACCAATAAAGTCGGTTTTGAAAGCTCGAGCTAAATTATATGCAGGTGAGAATTTTTATTCGTAATTGCGTTGATGATGCTGCTTTGAGCATCGTGCGCAAACTGAATGGAACACCATAGACTGGTCGGAGTTTAGATTGTTATCGAAATTTAAAATGCCTTGGGTAAAACAGGATTATAAGTACTCGTGTTTCCAAAAATTGGCAATGAATGTTTTAAAACAGGGTATCATCCCTACCCATGTTGCTTTCATAATGGACGGGAATCGGAGACATGCGACAGCCCATGGCCTTCAAAAAACCGAGGGTCACAAGCAGGGGTTCTCAAAATTGTCTGAGGTAGGTACTTTTGCAACTCTTTATCTGTGAGGTTCTTCGATGGTGCTACGATTTTGGGGTAAGAGAAGTGTCGGTATACGCTTTCAGCATCGAAAACTTTAAAAGATCGGAAGGCGAGGTCTCGTTTTTAATGGATCTTGCTTTGAATAAACTCAATGATCTGGTTCAGAATAAGTGAGTATTTTACATGTCGGTCCTTTACTTTGTAAACTGTGTTTCATTGGTACGTTCTTTCTGAAGAGACGAGTTGCACAAGCAGGGTGTTCGAGTTCGAGTTTTGGGTAATCTCCGTTTACTCCCCATAGGAGTTCAACGTGCGGCGGCAAGAATAATGCTTATGACGAGCGAAAACTTTCGGTAGTGGTTATGTCTTGTACATCTTGGTGCATCGCTGAATTTTTGTCACAAAATACAATCTTACTTACAGAGCTACACTGAACATACTGATGTCTTATACAACTCGTGACGAACTAACAACGACATTGAGTACCATCCGTCGTGGCGTGCAGTCGGGCATTTTAAAAGAAGAGTATGCCGTAACTTGGTATATTTTAACCATTACTTTACATTTGGCCATTTCATTCTCTCTTAAATCGGCGTAAAGTGGTGCACACCTGAATGGGCGTTAATATCTATTTAGCTGAAAAGCACTGGCTATTAAAACTTTTACTCTTCCAATACAGGTAGTTTATTTTCCACTTCATCCTCGTTCTGGTTGTTCTGGTTCCTATATGTGCTCCCTAATATAAATTCATAGGAAATTTTCATTCAGTTTAAGTACTTAAAGAAACACTTCGTAATATGCTTGTTGACCTGTGATTTAATTTGAAAGTGCATTTTTCTCGATTAGCTCAGATAAATGATTTTGGCCTTTTTAATGAGAACTGTAGAAACTTCTCAATGACTCATACTGGATATTAATATTACTGAGGAGGACTTTATATTAGCTAAAAGCTCTTGCAATAGTTGCTGTGACACCTTTTGGCGTTGTGAATTTGTTGATATACTGATTGGATAGGCTTTTATGATGTAGGGACATATCACCGGAGTTGATTGATAAAAGCAGCCAGTTGCGGGGCTGTCGGCCTCTGGATCTTTTGGTGCGTACCTCAGGTGAGGTTCGGCTAAGCGACTTCATGCTTTGGCAGGCTTCGCGCTCCGCAGCCCTCTTCTCCTTCTTCAAGGTCAACTGGCCTGCCTTCTCGTTTTGGCATCTTGCTGCCGCCATTCTCCACTTTCAACTCAATCGTTCTGCTCTTGTACCACTTCCCGAGGTGTGTTTCGAGGATATTCTATTGGTGTTCTCATATCCCACTTGTTTTGTATGAGTCAAGACGAGCAGTAATCGCTTGCTTGAGTGTGGTAGTTATGTTCCATTGCATCTTTAATCACCATCAACTTCTAGTTCCATTTGTAGCATTCGACACAACCGCTTTCTCGTCATCCTGTTTTGTGCACATCACTTTCCTGTTTCAAGCATTAGCTCCTTTTCCTCTTGAATCAATCAAAACTTCAAAATTTGCCTAAAGGGACATGGATTATTAATTTCACAAATCCGGTTAGTTTCCATGTACTCTTAGTAGCCTTTGAAATGCAGTGATAGTGCAGTCATCTGTTCTGTTTTTTTGTAATGTAGCAACAATCACCAAGTTGGTTGACACTGAAAATTTTATTTAAATGTATTTCACAAGTCGGTGTTCAAAGACAAATCTGGGTTAAGGTTTTTGGTGTCTCCCGATAACGCAATGTTTCATTCGTTTCACTTTCCTTAACCACATGAAATCTGAGATCATTATCAGCATTGCATCAGAAATTCCGTTCTCGCTTGGCTTATCAGAACGCCTCTCAAAAGTACATTCAGATTTTAAGGTAATCCCATGTCCCTCGCCTGAATTCTTTCCGGTTAATGGGAAATTTATTGTGCTGCCCTGAAACTTTTACTTACGGAGCTGGATCCAATGGTCTATCTCGCTAATTCGTAAACCTTTTCAGGAATGTCTGGCATGAAACTCCCTTGATAAACACTCTTTTTCAACGAGTTACTTCGAAATGGTTTGTGATCAACCGCATTCAGCATTGTATCCATTTCGAAATTCACTAACGGTTGCCTGCTTCAGCTTGATGTCTTGAACTGTATTTATATAGCTTGCACAACTTCCTTGTCAGTTAAGCGGGGATGCTTCGGACCTGAGATTATGATTCCTGAATTCCCTCTAGTATTGTTGACCTGCAGCACTACTGGACGCTGAAGCCGTTCAATTATCGTGTAAAAGGCGCCTCGTTGACCTCTCACTCAGCTAGTGTATTGTGCCCTAAATCTATCACTCGAAGTCGTCTGACCAATCGTTCTGGCTTTTTTGGTAGTATTCGGTTTGACCTTCAGTGTCGATCCGACCGAGGTCATGTGAGATTTGCTGTGACGCTCAAGTCGGAAGTTGCATCCCGTTTCGGAGACTATTTGCCACGTCGGTTAGTTGACCTATTTTTCTCTCCAGCATAAGAATATGTGGACTGTGCTAGCGTCACGACTTTTCGTGTCGTTCTACTTTTAGGCATTCCAATCTAATCAATGTCACGAATGAGTTGACACTTCACATGCAATCAATAATCAAACTTCACCACTCCCTACGTACTTCACTCCATGGCTTGATAGCCCGTGTAACCGTTAACTCTACAAGAGCATTACTTCTTTCTATTTCAGGCGGTGCGATGCCATTTGAATGAATTGGATTCGCACAACACAGCCAACGGTCACGGTGGCATCTATCAACCCGTCACAATCGATGCTATTAACGCAGAGAATCGCACTCGCCGATTAGCGAAATTTTACGCGAGCTTGGAGAAGGAATACATGGACGAACTCTTTGAAATAGCTAACCTCCCTGAAGTGGATGAAACATCTGCTTAATAATGCTTCATTTCGCTAAGAGCGAGTTCTTCCAGTTTGTTTTATTGCATATTTTTTACAGCTGTAAGAGAATTTTTCGCTCCCCTTCACGGTTGGGACGATATTAGAGATTTTGGACAGATATGTTGGCTGAAAATCTGTGATTAAGTAGTGAAATCAGGTTTTTTTGTTTTTAAAATCTGCCAATTTTCTAATGGAGATGTTGACTAGAACCTAGGACATTTAAGGAATAACAGTCCATTTGTTTACAGACAGGCCTTTAAGAAGTCGCCAATGAGAGTAGTGTCTTTATTTATCCGTTTCCTTGGGGTGTAGCAATTTTGTGATACCTAAGTAGTATTTAAAAACTACAACAAGGATCAGCCGAAATCTGTCAGGCTTTAAAGGGTGGGTCGTATTCCAAGATCTTGAAGGCTTATCATTAGGAAAATGTCTAGAGGTGGAGATTATTCCCCATCGTTGCCATTCATGACTCTGTAATGGGATAAGTGATGCAACAGCGTAGACTCCAGCCTTTAGAAACAATAAATAATGGGCTGGCGTGGCACACGCAGGAAGCAGATCCCATAGAATTCCGTGCTTTTGCGAGTGGGTCGCGAATCACGCAATTGAGTGTCTGGATATGTACAAACTTAGAGGTATGGGCAAAGAGTTAACTGCTTATCGAGGCTGTCGGGAGAGGGGAGGTAGAGGAAAGGGTGGGGGACGATAGGGCGGCAGCCGGCTTCTGATCGCATTGACGCCGAATGGTGGTGGCGGGTGCCTATGGGGGACTGAACCGTTAATAATTGGACCACTACCACTACTACTACCACCACTTTGCCATGAGAGCATTGGTGGTGGTGCTCGAACGCTCGATGGAGGCGGTGGTCTGGAGAGCGGCCATCGATTCATCGACACAGGCTGAGCTGCACCTAAGCAGGAGTGAAAACTTGTATGTGACTCAGGAAACTTGCGAATAGAGGAGAGCAAAAGTCAAAACAGAAATAGAGACTCACCAGGAACGAACGTCTGGTCCATGCTGAAGCGAGGGTGCTGGAAGCGCAGTGGAGTAGACGGGGCAACAGGAACCCCTGGGGGAGGGTTTCCATCAGGGCTGAACCATGACCCTGCAGGAGGCGGATGGTGCTGCGGCTGCGGCAGCTGCTGTTGTTCGTGAGGACGGACGAAAGGCGACACGGAATCGACAGGAGAAAACCTCGGGTAGGGTCCTGAAAGCTGAGACACGAAAGGTTGGCGAAGGGGACCACCCATCTGAGCAGAATTCGGTGGTGGAGGTACCATGGTGCAGGGCAGAAGGCGAACTGGCGTCTGCGCTACGGTATAAGCTGCATTTGTGAGGATGCTCTGCGCCACTGAAATTAAGTCAGGTAGAGTTGCCAATCAATGCCGAGGATCAAAACTGTTATTTCCAAGATTCTTACGTTGAATATTTTCATGTCCATTATCAAGGGATAAATGTTAAGTGATTATCTAGCAGGACTCAGATTAGCAGAAAGTTCCTCAAATTTAAGTAGTTTTATGCAGGCACTAATAAAGCCAACGATGAATTGTGGAAACAAATACAAAGAAAGTTATAAGGAAAGTATATGAACGCAAAAACAGTTTTGATAATTACCACCTAAGCACAAGATCACAAATTGAAACCAAGCACGAAAGTTGAGAATTAGCAAGCAGTCAATGCTTACAGGGTGGAGATGTGGACATCGAAGAAACGAAAGGAAGAAGTGGGGGTTTACTGGAGACGTCACCGATGGTGGTAGTAGCAGGAGCATCAGTTGCAACATTTGCGGCATTAAGTGTCACCGACTTAACGGATGGGGGAGGCAACAGAGCCACACCTCCAGTTAAAGAAGTCGACATTGCCATGAGAGGTGGCGGTGGAGGTGGTGGTGGCGGCGGCGGCGGCGGCGGCGGTGGAGGGGGAGGAGGGGGCGGTGGTGGCAAAGGTGGTGGCGGCGGGGGTGGCGGTGCTAAAGCAATCACCTACAGTGAGGCAAGTGACCCAAAGAGCCCTTCCTCCTTCCTGACAGTTTACAAGCTCACCTGTAGTAGGAAGAGGCACTAGTGGGGGCATGACTGTTGGAGGGTGAGAAGGAATGAGAACTGTTTTGGACAAGTTTGTTGGGACTAAGCGATCCTTCGATGGAGAAAGGAGTTTTCTTCGCAACTCTGGCGAGATGGAATCCGCGTCAACGAGAGCATGACCTTCAAGGAGAGAGCGGAAGGTAGAAGGAGTCATGCATTCAACTTGTTCCAAGGGGAGGTAGGTGCATCCCTCGCGTTCGCTCCAGCCCTCATGGCAACGCTGCTGACTGCGTCGCACACCAAGATTGGCCGCCCAAGCAGTCTTCATCTCTCGCTGCTCCAGCATCGACCTATCAAGGCTACGGCGAGCACGTGCTGCGGCGGCACGGCTTTCGAAGGTGATAAAAGCACAGCCACGTGGAGGAATAAGGTTGCATTCGAGAACGCGAGCATGAGCTGCTGCCTCGCACACTGCCTGTAACCGAGTCTCCGCCAGTTGTTTATGCAGATGGCCAATGAAGATGGTACGTGAGACTAGGGAGACGTAATTGGTGCGTAGCGAAGGTAGAGCATCTCGACGTCTACGACGCTCGCGCTGACTTGTCGTCTCTTCTACGTCTTCGCCAATGCCAATGAGAAACTGTTCTATCGCCCCACCATGATCGTTTGACATGGGAGTAGTCGTGGTAGTGCCTGGAACCATTGGCACTGCCGGTTGATCCGGAGATTTGCTTCGAAACCGGGGCGAAATCGAAGATGAAGATGATACCGACGAGGTGGTACGGCTGAGAAAAAGGTTGAGGATCGAAAAATAAACACAATGTATTGAGAAATAGCCCTCAAATAAGATTCAGACCATTAAATAGAGGAACTACAGTGAATGCAACTGTTACATCTGAAAAGAGATAAAATAGAGTAGAGAACCTGAAGGGCAGCTAACAGACAACCTATAAAATTGGCAGAGTATGTCAATAAATTCTGATGAAAGTTCAATCATTGTCTTCCCATGATAGTCGAATATATTGGCTCCATAAAAAAATGATATCAAAGGGAAATAAAGAATGTGAATGAAAAAAGAACAGTAATGTAACAGGAAAGCAGTATCGTCCAAGACCATAGAAAAAGTGGAAACTGGTAATCGACAACAGGATGCAACAGTTAAAGACAAGCTCACTTTTCACTATACCAAAAAAAAGCGTCGATACTTTAATGCCCCAAGGGGAATGAAATACTCGGGATTCCGTCACAGTGGTTAATAGAAATAGAAGCAAATGTGAAAATAAACAGAGTAAAGCAATGAACGTAAGGCCTGACTCGGTCTTGGCGCGTTTCCGAACAGGTGAGGCGTTCATATCATAGATGAGGGAAGTGGGAGATGCATGCTGCTGATTTTCCGATCGCCGTCTCCTACGGCTGTCCTCATCTCCAAATTTGAGCGGTGGCGGGGGTCGATGATTACTGATATTGACGTGGTTCGACAGAAAGGAATTTGAAGCTAGACCTTGTAGTCGATCCTCAAAGGAGCTCTCATCGGAAGGTACGAGTTCACCAGCATTCGCCATTCTTCTACCGCCTGCACTCATCCCAACTGTTGATGCCTGATTCTGAAAGATGACACCGTGATCGCATCAAATTCTAGTGCGATAATCAAAGGCCTTGCTCACCCTCGCTAATCGCACTCTCATTGATTTTGATCCATAAGATAAACTTTTAATAGATAATGACCAAATGACAGGAAAAACATAAACTTGAACCAAAACCTACTACAGAAGATTATTAAAATAGTTGTTACTTTTGAGATGTGAAATGAGCCAATAAGGGCGACCATCAGCCCACGGTAATGGCCTTTAGAATTGGTAAGATGGTGGCACATTCCCGAAATGGAAAAGGTAAGAAAATGAGTGATACTTATTGATGTTACCTACCTGATGGTCGTAGTGGTTTTCACTGTTATGAAATGTATTGTTTACTTTATTGTTTTCCGCTGAATTAGGCCCATTGAACGGAGGCTCGTTGCAAGTGGAACCGGTGCTATTCACGTGGCACTTGCTCAGCTGTTCCTGGATTGCTCTATTTTCTGCCATGGTGTCAACGATCGCCTTCAATTGATTAAAGTAGGAATTTTCTATTGAAGGACTAAAGACGAATAAAGGAAGAATGGAAACAACCACCAAGTTTCGAGTCGCAGAACAATTAGTGAAAAGGCGTTTAGCGCCTACTTCGGGAAGGTATGACAAATCAAGGAAATGACAGAAGTGCTTGATGAAACTACTGCGGAGAAGTTTGCATCAGTCAGTTTTCGGAAGAATGGAGATCAGTACTTATCGTTTTGAAAAAAAAACAAAGGTAGAGACGCTCACAAGCATGCATGAACACCAAACTCCAATAGCAAGTTACATTGAGTGACAAAATCACACGTGTATGTATGTTGTATTTGTAATGTGAAAGGTAAGGATTTGATATCCTCCGCATATACTCTGCTAGGTATCGATATGCAAATTGTTTGCTGACAAAGCCAAATAACACCAGAAATGAACGTACAAGTAAACTTGATCCGCTCATTTTCACTACAAAATAGCAGTCGGATGTGACATGTTGGATGCCTCAATTAGGTATCTAAATCTTTGCCTGCTTCAAAACCTTCAACGTGGTAGACAGGTAAAAGGATTACCTTAAGAAATAACCCGTCATTTGTGATCGTTGACTGCAAATGATAACAACTGCATTTGAACCATGTTACCAAGACAAAACACTTACTGATACTGAAGTTGAGACAGCGTAGAACTGAGTTGGGTGACAACTTCTGCACTAATCATTTTGCCATGACCAAGTAAATCCAGCTGCTCTTGGATCTTCCGTTGCACCCACTAAGAAATTGCAAAGAACAAACAGGACCGCAATTCCGATACCAATTAAATAGTGCATTGGCAATGAGGGTGAACGATTGTTATTTACACAAGGTATTTAAAGAAACCATGGAAGCTACACTTTTCGAGCAGTTTGCAGTATAGTTATATTTTCATGGAAATCGGCAACACATCCAAAAGTAGACAAGCTCAGTAAGTATTAGGGAGTACAGCTTCTAAAATTGTAATTGGGGACAAGGTAAACAAGAGAAAAATGGGAAAGAGCATTCAGCCACTCTAAGAAGCAGAGAATCAGCTTACCGGAGGCAGTAACTTAGACGGCAGTCATACAGCGGCACACACATATAAAAGGCACATCTCACACAATGCTACAGTAGTTTTGTAAAATTCCCTGATGTAAGATAACTGATTAAAATGTAGAACAAAGAAAAAGATATCTTCAGAACCAAAGCACGCAAAATAGCGCCAGGACAGAGATAAACAAGGGGTAACAAACCTGGATAGCTTTCTGCAAATACTCCTCACTGTCTTGGGATATACGAGATCCCTTGCTTCTCCTTGATTCATATTCAATAAGTGATTTTGAAATTATTTTTCGGGCTAGTTAGCATAAAAACTATAAGAGGGTAGGATACCGGACACATGAAGACCAGGGCTGTCAGGATCGTTAACTAAGTCTTGTAAAACGATGATAAGATCCTCCGGGTAGATGCATTTCTCCCTCCACAATTGAAGTACCTTTGATATCATCGGTTTATCTTCGGGCAAGCATTGAGACAGGGCAGTAAAGACAGCATCAATATTCCGCATGAATCGAGGGCCATAGAGGTCCCTATCACAACCACTGAGCTTTGACTGGCGCAAAATTGCATCCACGATAAACAATCCAGGAAGCTTAAATTTAGCTGTGCATTTGAATATGAGCTCTTCGACTAGTTTAACGACGTGTTTATAGAATTTGCCTGCTCGAATAGCAGCACTGGTAATAGATGCCATCTTAGCTTTTGTTATTGGTAATGAGCCCGTCAAAAGTGTTTTCAGCTACAAAAATGACCATAAGGCCAACGGATACCTCAAGACTGAAGCTCCTAACTTCTTCCATTCTACGTCCACACCGAAAGAGACTCAAATAAACCACGCTAGCAACAAGTCGCAAAACAAAACTCTGGCTACTGATGCATGCCCAACCTAATTTATCATACCGGGTCTTCAGACGATTCTGTTACGCATTAAGCGACTTGCTTCATTTTAAAAATCTCAAATATGCATTATCTTGCTTGCAGAAACATTTGTTCTTGCAAAACTAAAAATTCACGCATTAGATCAATGTAAAAAGTCAATTATCCACTTGTATTGCAGATAATTATTATTAATTATTATTAATTCACCCCAGAACTTAATCTAAAACGGAACATAAGCATACCAAGTCATAACTTAAAAAAAGGAATTTAAACAAAAAACAAGCATATGATACTGCGGCGTCCCGAGACTTCCCGTAGGGTAGTAGAAGGCATAAGTGAAGGTGAATACATGTATTCTCAAGACGACAGGGCAAATTGGGCCTGAGTGTGGCCTGAAGGCCAGCCACGTCTACAGAGGTCAGACAAAAGCTAAGGTAACCGCCAAACGTCAGGTAGTTACATATACAAAGCATTACAGTTGAAGCCTCTTAGTAGCACATTACGGCTTACCCTTAGGTAGAAGAAGGCATGATACGAATGGTCTAAAGTAATAAGAAGGGACAGCGAATTAGCATAGCCCGAAAGAAAGACCATGCATACATGGAAGAAACACACAAAAGCAACGCCTAGGTATGAAGTGTCATATAATGCGACCACCTGGCGGTCGGCGGCCACTTTAGGATTTGTCTGACCCTTGTACACGTGGGCTGGTCTTCGGGCCACGCTCA